AGCGAATCTATCTTGCCATTGAAGTCCACTGTAAGCTTATGTTGTCCTTCCAAGATCTGTTCTAACATTGCTTCCATTTTGTTCCCTTGTGGAGGTGCTGGTTGATAGGAAGAAGAACCATAGTTTCTGTAATTTCCACTGTTCTGGAATGGCTTCTGGTACTCTGTCTTCTGGAATGGGGGTCTAAGAGTGAAACCAGGCATGCTCTGTCCTCCTGTAAGGGCGTTCTTCTGATTGTTGTTGCTGTATCCTCTGTTCCACTGCTGATTCCCATACCTTTGTCCCTGAAAACCACCAGAATTGATGAAATTTACATCCTCCTGCTCAACTTCCTCTGGAGCTTCAAAAGTTTCCACTTCTGCAGCAAAGTGAACTGACTTCTTCCCCACCAAAAGGTTGTGCATATCATCCAACTTAGCCTTAACTTCAGCAATCTGATTTCCATCAGCTACACCAGCTTGTTTCATCCTCTGAAAGTCTCCGTTTTTAGTGCTGTTGCTGCAGACCAAGTTCTCAATCAGTCTGATCGCCTCTTCTGGTCTGTTGGTGTTGAAGTTTCCTGCACTTGCTGCATCCAGCACCATCTGATATTTCCAGTCAATGCCTCTGAAGAAAATCCCAAGTAATTGCACCTGACTGAAGCCATGATGAGGACAGTCCCTTTGATAAGACTTGAACCTGATCCAAGAAGCCTTAAAAGCTTCAGTAAGGCCTTGTGTAAATGATGCAATTTTCGTCCTCATGTCCTCTGATCTTGCATCATCATAGAAGTTATTCAAAAAGGCATTCTTGGTGTCTTCCCAAGTGGTCAATGAAGCAGGTTCCAGTTGCTTCAGCCAATATGCAGCTTCTCCTTCAAGAGAGTAAGGAAAAAGCTTGCAGAACAGAAAGTCATTGCTAACCCCATTAGCTTTGACACTGGAAGCCAAGTCCTCAAATCTCTCTATGTGATCCATAAGATGCTCATGAGGTAGGCCATGGAATGGATGCTGGCCAACCAGCTGATAGTAGACTGGTTTAACCTCAAAATCGTTCCTCTGGAAGGCAGGAGGTCGGATTGCAGCTCTGTTGGCATAGAACTGATCAGGTCTGTTGTAGTCACCTAGAGTCCTCTGAACAAAACGCCCAGCAGCGTTATTGACAGCAGCAGGGATCCCCACGTTCTCAGCCACTTGCTGAAACTGCTGTTCAACAATGACATTCCCCTCTGGATCAATTCTCTGCCCCTCTTCATTCCTCCTGTTTCCTTCCCTGTCAACCAAGTGACCTTCTGCATCTTCAACCAAGATAAGTGGAGCGACCATTGTAGATTGCTTCTTAGCTTTCCTGTTAGTTCTCTCCAACCTAGCAAGTTCGTCAATGCTCAAAGTCACAAGCTCCTTTTCTTTGTTGCTTCTGGTACTGCGATTAGGCATACACCTGAAACGGGAACAATGAAAACTTGAGTAGTGATGAATTTTCCACCCTTTTAAATGAGCTAAGAAAGTTTAGGAGAGCCATTGGATACTCCTTGGAGGATATCAAAAGCATATCTCCTGAAATTTACACTCATAGAATCCACTTTGAAAATGAATCAATAACTTCTATAGAATATCAAAGAAGGTTGAACCCTAATTTGAAAGAAATTGTAAAGAAAAAGATTGGTGTTATCCATCCTATCTCTGATATTACATGTGTTTCATCAGTCCATGTGGTGTCTAAGAAGGGTGGAATCACAGTTATGAAAAACGAAAAAGATGAGCTAATAAAAACAAGAACCATAACTGGCCATAGAATGTGTATTGACTATAGAAAACTTAATTCAACTTCAAGATGGTAGAAGTGTTTATGGATGATTTTTCTGTTTATAGTGTCGCTTTTGGTGTTTGTTTGTCCAACTTGTGTAGGGTTCTACAAAGATGTGAAGAGACAAACTTAGTGCTGAACTGGGAGAAATGCCATTTTATTGTTAGAGAAAGGATTATTCTTGGGCATAAGATCTTAGAAAAGGGTATTGAGGGAGACAAAGCCAAGATTGAGGTGATGATTCAGTTGGAACCTCCAAATTCAGTCAAGGGTATAAGGAGTTTCTTGGAACATGCTGGTTTCTATAGGAGATTCATCATGGTTTTTCAAAGATAGCAAGACCCATCACAAGATAGCTGTGCAAATAATTGGAGTTTGTCTTTAATGAAGAGTCCACAAAGGCTTTGTTGACTATCACAGAAGCTCTTGTGATTGCATCTATTGTTTAAGCCCAAATTGGGATCTTCACTTTCAAATCATGTGTGATGCATGTGACTATGCAGTTGAGGCTGTCTTGGGGCAAAGGGTTGATAAAAAACTATATGTTATCTACTATGCTAGTAGGACCCTATATGAGACTCAATGAAGGTAAAGTCCTGAACCTCTCGTCTAACGCGGACAAGCGCCCAGGGTCGACTTATCGTAAATCCATGAGGTCCCAGACGCTATGCGGGGAAAGCAAGAAGTCAGCATATGGATAATAAAATATTCGGGAGATACTGATCGGCTAGCAAAGCTTACCACAGACCCGCCAGAATAAAGGAACATCGATGCCCTGGTGGACCAACAGAAGAATTAATGTTCCCTTCAGTTCTGGTTGCCCGACCGATCCCCGGAGATCAAGGTAGGGTGTGCAACATATAGTGGAGAAAGTCACCAGAGATACGGAGAAGTCGATACGATAGCAGCACCACAGACCCCCGCACTCGAAGCCTAAAGAGTTTGGAAAGGACCTGATACGCGTTAAACAGTCTCCACGCCGACAGATGCAACAGGCTGGGGTAGATGCCGGAGCAACGGCAGAAATTGACGAGCACGCGGGAAAAGTAGCTCTTAAAGCGATAGAGTTGAGCGGAGCGTGATCCGTCTGATCCTCTTCGGTAGGGAAGAGGGGGTTTAGAGGGGCACAAGGAGGGTCGGCTGCCAAAATAACTACCGTACACACCGACGGGGGGCCGATCCTGCTTCTCGACCACCTCAGGGATATGGGGGTTATTCTTGATGACACCCTGAGACCATGAGAAAGAGGCGCGCTAAGTATCCATATATGAGTTTGTCGGCAAGGATGTGATCTCATTTTTGAAAGAAAAAGAAAAAAAAAGGGGGAGAAGAGCGAAGGCTAAGCGAATGTGATAATAGAAAAAATATGAAAATCAAATTCAAATCGGAAAAGGAAACAGGTGAAGGGTTTCTGCGGTTCTTGATTATCATATAAAGATGCGAGAAACTACAATAACACGTGAAAATGGCTGCGATCATTTGTAGATAACGGATGAAGTCAAGGGTTATTTTGGTAAATAGCCAACCCTCGAGTCGTGAACTTGAAAAGACACGTCATTATGACGAAGGAGACAGGCGGTCCCTCATTATGGAGATAGCAAGCGGCAGTTCACGAGAAGTGAGGCAAAAAGTGCGGCATAACTTCTAACACAGCAGACAAACAAAACTCTGCCACGTGGACTGCACCCTTCAACGAAGGAAAACAGCCATGACCGAGAGAATTGCGTCTCCCAACTCAGAGAAGTAATGCGAAGGCATCCGAAGCCCTCAGGAGCACGAGCGAGTAACCATCCCCGTCAAAGGTAAGTCATAAGGCAACAATATGAGTTCTCAAACCCTACAGGAAATAGGTATCGCTTCGGGACAGCCCTCACCCACAGGGGCAAGCCGCACGGGCTCACCTTATCGTTTGTGCGCACGTGCAAGCCCCTAATCATTTTTGTTAGGCACGTGCATCGATCTTATTCCTTTTTCGAGTTATTGCGTGTGATTCCCTACCTGAGTGATTTTCTTTTTCAATGAGTTCTTGCTGGCGTGATTACTTGATTCTTTGATTGCATGATTTCTTACCTACTTTAATCTCTGCTTGCACGTTAATTCTCGCACTCGATCTTCCGAGACCCCCGGCTCTTTTCTTTACTTTTCCTTGTCAATTTATCGCCCTTCATTTTCGTTGATCTCCTTATTTGTATTTATCTTAGGGGCATCCTGCTTATGGCCGAATTCCCATCAAAACTGCTTGGTTCGAATTTCTTCGAGCATGCTCCCTTGTGGACTTGCTTACCTACTGGAGCACCATTCTTCCGGAAATTCTGGACTTCGGTCCTGCAGACTTCCAGGTCCTTTGCTAACTCCTTCTGAGGACCGCATAACTTTTTGGTGTGCTCCTTACGGGCATGCACCCGCCTTCAAGGGCACCATTCTTCCGAAAATTCTGGACTCCTGTCCCGCAGAGCTCCGGAGGTCCAACTTACTTGTTTGCCAGTGTACGTAAAACCCCGTTAAAAATTTTCTCTGAAACTATATACCGCCAATCCCTTAGCTCTGCCCAAATAATTAAACATATTTTGTAAGTATTTTAGAATTTGCTTTCAAACAATAAAATAATATTACCAGCATATTATATCAAAAAAAAAAAAAGATCAATGATATTTTTTATATAACTTAAGTGAAATGATATTTATAACTAAAAATACGTTTTTATTTCTTACTTATCTAATTTTCAAACAATCATTATTATTATAAAAAAAATCCAGTCAACCATTAATATTAACTAAATGTATTAACAAAATCTAAATCGTTTTTGAATAATTTTCTATTTCCAAAAAAAAATACATTTCACTTTTGCTCAACTTGGCATGTTTGCATAATTTTTTCTTTAAAAAGAATAAATTTATTCCTAAAAACAGTTGTACTAGTTTTTAATAATTTTAATTTATTTTTCTTTTTCAAAATCGAAATCAAGTCAAACACAAATTATAATCAATAGTAAGTAAATAAATTTTAATCATAAAATGGTGAAATATATAGGTTAGTGAGAAGAGAAAAACAAAACAAAAAACCCCAAATTTAGGGTTACAAATCCACTCCCAATGAAATTCCCGCTTCTCCCGCTCCTTTGCTTTCCTTTTGCCTCTGTCTGAAAATTGCTTTCCATCCTCTTCTTTTTCCATTTAAATATTCATCTTAATCATCGCCTATTTACAAAACCAACGATTAGGATCTCTACCTGAAATTTTCATTAAACTCCATATTTCTAACAATTTTAAATCCTATTCTAAGAATCCTGTTGCCTTTCGATTATCTTTGGATCTGTAAGTTTCTCAATACATTGATCTAATTTGTTGAGATCCTGGAATTAATTAGGCATCTTGTATTGATCCTTAGAGTTAAATTTAGTTATCTACGAGCAGATTTCGGTAATATGTTTCTGAGGTTTTGAGAATGGCAGCTAAATTAGTATTTGCAAAATTGTAATTTTGTTTTATCAACAAATTTGCATCAACAGTTCTTTGATTTTTGTAATAGGTATGGAGAATTCTCCTAAACATAATGTGGTGGAAGGGGAACAATTGGAGGAGATGAAATCTGCTGAGATTATCGCTGAGGAAGTTTCTCTTAAACACGATGTTGAAACTGCTTCTGCAACATTGGAGGAGAACAATGGGGAAGAGATTAAAGAGACGAAATTTGTTGAGATCATTGATGATGAAGTTTATCCTAAACCTATTGTTGAAATTGAGGAGTTGATCGATGAGATGGAGTCTATAGACATCCACCAAGAAGACAAGACTGTTTCTTTTAAGTTTGAGACACAGCAAGATAAGTTGGATGGTGATGATCATGATGATGATGATGATAATGAGGATGATGATAGTGAGAGTTCTGCTTATTTAAAACATGACGATGAAATAGAGAAAGCTGATGAAGAAGAAACAATGGATGATAACGAGAATCTGAAACCCGACTCACCCGATTCTACATCATCCGCTTCTGCTTGGACGGAGAAAGCAGCTGCGATCAAGAATTTCGTTAGAGTAAAGAGTGAAGTCGCGGTACATACATTAATGCGCCGTCTTTCTGGGAAAATGAACGATGAAAACGCTGCTCAAAATATACCAAATGATGGGAAAGACTCAAGAGATGATGAATCTCCTAAAGTAGAAGGGAAGTCATCATTCATATGGAATCCCTTAAGCTATTTGAAGATGATGCAGAACGATGATTCGGTTGATAAAGGAGATGCAACGACGACAATGGAGACAGCATTGGAGCCTGTAGTGATGAAAGGTAGGATTATACTTTATACAAGACTATGTTGTGAAGAATGCAGAGAATGTAGAATATATTTGCATGAAAAGAGGCTTAGGTATGTCGAGATAAACATCGATATCTACCCCACAAGAACGCTGGAGCTGGAAAATATTTCCAGATCTTCTTCAGAAGTTCCTAAGGTTTTCTTCAATGAAGTGTTAGTTGGGAATTTAAAGAAGCTCAAGGAATTGGATGAATCAGGTCAACTTGATGCGAAGATTGAACATTTGATAGCCGAAGCACCGCCTAGAGAAGCTCCTCTGCCACCACTTTCAGGGGAAGATGATGCATCAAGTAAAGGTCCTGTAGATGAACTAGCTTTAATAGTGCTGAAAATGAAGCCTTTCATCGTCAAGGATCGGTTTTATAAGTTGCGAAGGTTTAAAAACTGTTTCTTAGGTTCTGAAGCTGTGGATTTCCTATATGCGGATCAACGTCTTGAAAGAGGCGAGGTAAAAAAGAGATATAAGTAATGTGATCACTGTTACGTTTTAAGAATATTTGCTATATATAAAATCTGATCGTCATGTTAAATAGGCCATTGAAGTTGCTCGAAAACTTGCAAGCCAACTCTTCTTTCAACATGTCTTAGAGTAAGCTTTTTTTCTTTCCACCATTGTTTTGAGGTTTTACGGCTTCATTTGTGCTTAAATTGTATATTTTTTTTCAATCAGCGAGAATCTGTTTGAGGATGGGAATCACTTGTACCGGTTTTTAGATGATGACCCTATTGTGTCATCTCAATGCCACAACATCCCTAGAGGAATAATTGAGTTGAAGCCAAGACCAATTGAAGAAATCGCGTTTAGAATCCGACTTTTGTATCTAGCAATCCTTGAAGCTTACACTTCACCAGATGGAAAACATGTGGACTACAGAAGCATCCATGGAAGTGAAGAGTTTGCAAGGTATGTAAATAAATGATCCTCGGCCATGTTCTTTTCGTAATAGCTAGCTACAGCGACTAGCAATTAATTTTCATTTCACAGTTGCTGCAGCAAGGGGCGTCCAAATTCAGACGTCCGTTTGGTTTTTGATCGGTTTTTATGGTTATTCGGTTTTTATATAATTGTATCCAAAATAAAACCAAATTTATCATGGATAGTTTGGTTTCGAATTCGGTTTCCATTCAGATTCAATTTTTAGTAAAATATTCGCTCTAAATCAGTTTAAAAAAAATATATATATATTCGCTTTAAATCAGTTCGGTTCAGTTTTGGTTTTTGATTTTTCAGTTATAAAAAAAAGGTGACTCCATTTAAACTTATTAGTTATGGTTCGGTTTTCGAATAGGTGTTTGGTTCGGATCTGCTCGTAGTGACTAGTGACTACATATTTCTTATTTTCTGACCTGAGTATCATTCCATTCCCCCTAAGGTATCTGAGAATAATCCAAGAGCTCCACAGAGTAGAACTTGATGATATGCAAAGAGAGGAAAAACTCGCCTTCTTTGTAAACCTTTACAACATGATGGCTATTCATGCAATACTAGTATGGGGACATCCAACAGGACCACTTGAACGAACAAAGATGTTTGGGGACTTCAAATATGTTATTGGTGGCTACACTTACTCGCTCTCAGCTATCCAAAATGGCATTCTAAGGGGTAACCAGAGACCGCCTTACAATCTTATGAAACCTTTTGGTGCAAAAGATAAACGTTCCAAGGTAAAAAAATAAACAGTTTGAAGAAGCTGTCTTAACTTTTTATACAAGCTTTTTTGTGTGCTGCATGCCGATGCATATTATCATCTGTTTAGGTTGCTCTGCCTTATGTCGAACCTTTGAGTCATTTTGCTCTGGTTTGTGGTACTCGGTCTGGACCGCCTCTCCGATGTTTTTCGCCTGGAGAGATCGATAAAGAACTCATGGAGGCTGCTCGCGATTTCTTAAGGGGTGGGGGACTCATAGTTGATCTCAATTCCAAGGTTGCTTACATTAGCAAAATATTTAATTGGTAATCTTACATATCTCAACATACTTAAAAGTTACATGATTCCATCTTTGTTTACTAAACCCAGTTGGTGCATAGGTATGGGGTTGATTTCGGAAAGGGTGAAGAGGAGGCACTGAAGCATGCATCAACCTACTTGGAGCCACAACTTTCAGAAGCTTTGTTGGATTTTCTAGTTGATACTCAGTTCAGAGTAGTCTACCAAACATATGATTGGGGGCTTAACAACTAAATGACTTAAAAATCCGGATGGATTGAAGCAACTTTGGACTTACGCCGCTTTTATTTAGTTGGTCGAATTGATGGAATATTTTGGAGAGAAAAATATTTACCATGCCTAGAGTCAACTACATATGATCTATAAGAATGTCATGATGATGTGTTGTTATTACAAAACTTCTCAAAAAAAAAGTTAAACTAACTAAATTATTATGAATTCCTGCCATTCACATTAATCTAATTAAAAAATAAAATTTATTAATTATTTATAATTTAGCAGTATTTGCTATATGAAGATATTCCTATGTTTTTAATTTTTAATTTTTTTAAAAAACTTTTTGCCAAAAATATATTATAATAATTATTTATTTGTTCATCCGAAGTGTTGTTCTCTAGATCATTCTCTATTCTTTCATTCAATAAAATGTTTTCAAAAATATGTTTAAATTCATTTTTTATTTATACTTGTAGATGATCCGCAAAACCTGCAAACACATGTAGGACAAATGCGGATATACTATTATTTTTATTTTGCTTAACAATGCGGGTATACTATTTTAGTCCAAAAATCGTGTAGAGCAAGCGAGTTATGATAACTGATGCAGTTTAAATTTGTTGCCAATATTTTATCTTCCTCCACTATTTCTTTTCTTCAATAAATGTGTTTTTATTTTTTGATAATTTTCTTAATCATCATAACTAAATATATATATATATATATATATTTTTTGGTATGAATGTTAAGAATCATAACTAAATATTGTCAATACTGAAAACTATAATGCAAAATTTCAAAATGGATTTGTGGATAGATTTTGAGGATCTAGCATTGGAGAAATCATCTTTTTTTTTGTAGATGTGCTGTAGTTAAAATAAAACTTGTGGTTCAAGATATCTCTACAATATTATTTGAGAAATATATTTTTCAAACATTCGAAAAATAGTTTATTTACGAAAATTGCCATTGCTTTAGTTCATAAAAACTGTTTGGAAACAGTAGTAACTGGAGATAATTGTGTACAAAATTTTGAGTCAACTCAGCGAGTCAAAAATAACCCAACCCAAAACCATTTCAATAACATGCGGATGTTGAATCATTTAAATCAAACCGAGTGCAAATAATTTGACTATTGTTAACGGTTTAAGAATCATTTTCTTTACCTTTTATAAAAACAGAAAAAAAGAATACAATTTTTTTGGAAATCTCAGACCGATCAATAATATCAACCATTTTTTTATCTGTTACAAACAAAGGAAAAATAATATTACAATCGAAAATCTCAGGACCAATACATATAACTTCTTCAATCAATTTAAAAATCTCTACAAAATCAAAAATCTCTGGAAAATCTCTACAAAATTGCAAATCAACACATAAAGGAAAATCTCTACAATAACATAAAGATTTATTGAATGTCTCGAACTTTCTCAACCAACCAAATAAACAGGACTAATAAATCTACAAGAAAATAAATTTAAATCTTTGAAAACCAACCTTCAATATTGTCGAATATAGCAACTTCTACAATTATGTTGTTAAGATCTTCAACTATAATTATATAAGAATATCTATATTGAATTAATAATTATATCTGGAGATCATAGAAAGCAAACCTAACTCAACCTAGGATACACTATATAAATAGGGTAGCAAGATTGCTCAACATTCATACCTCGACACAAGATCAAAAGCAAAAGGCAAATGCAGTCGCTAGCACTCCATTGAATCAAGCCTTTCTAAACCACATGGAGAATTCAAGTCAAAAATCATGCATACATACAGTTGGCTAATTCATTTGGTGAAATACTTGAAATGATTTTAGCCGACGAGAGGTAAATATATGTCTACTCTAAATGTCACAATATTTAAATAAATTTTCAAACTATCTACCACTTATGTTTACTATGTATAGGGTACAATTGCTTTTCATTTGTAAACTTTAAGTCAATTACATTGGGAAAAGTAAACCTTTACATCTTGATTGGTTAGTATGGTTCTTAAACTCTTTTTATTTTTTTAAGTATTTACTAGGTAATAACTCGTGCTCTCCGCGGAGTGAAATATCTTTTATTTAATTAATATAATTTTTTTATATTATATAACATAATATATTTAATTTTAATTTTAGTTTTATATAATATGATTGTAAAATATATTAATAATATAATAAAGTTTTTTGTTTATATTAGTATAAAATCGATGTAACGCCCAATCAATATACATAGCATCTAATGCAAAGAAAAAATCAAAAAAATTGAAATTTTTTAAAAAATTGCTTCATAAAAAGAGTTTGATTTTCATGCATTCTTATAGGATTTAGACTTCATGCATTCATATAGGACTAGCTTGCTTGTATAAATTAGGAACTATGATAGTACATCTTTGTTAATGCTAGTGGTTTATGAGTTAATGCTAGTGGTTTATGAAAATAAAGTCCTTGTTTTTAATCCTTTGGTGCATTTGATGTTGAACTAGAAATAAAGCTGAACCACTTTTGGAATTTGCATTTGTGTGAGCTTTGTTTGAGACTGAAGCATGCTTTGAAATGATTTCAACATTTGTTTAAGTGGAACCTAATTTGAATTCGCAATTATCATGCCTTATGCTTTTGTGATTGATGTCATGGATATTTAAAACATTTGGATCTTCTTATTCTCTTTTTCCACTCTCTAAAAGATCCATTTAGATTTCTCCATCCTTAAATAAATCTTCTTTCAAGCCAAGACATTAATAGTGTGTGATTTGTTAGGCCTTTTCTATCATGGTTGTTGCTTAGCAAAAAGTGTTGGGTTGGAACTACAAGGGAAGTATTCCCATTGTAGAACTAGCTCACTCTTGAGTTAGATAGGATGTTTGGGGAATGATTTGGTTTTATCTTGGGATTAGTTATTAAGAGAAGCAAAGAAGAAAAAAAGTCAAGGCATAAAAGAAAAAGGAGTGCGATACAAGCAAAAGGGTGGAAATGGCGATTCTAAACTGAAAGAAAGAAGGCTCATGTTCAAAGAAGAAAAGAAGATGCAAGAAGTGCAAAACAAGTCAATCAAAAAGCCAAAGGCGAATCAAGCACCAGCATCACCTAATAAAATAGCCAAACTCAAAAGAAGCAAATCGCCACCACTTGAAGTTCAAAAGAAGAAGTGTCCTCCAAAGCGCTAGAAGGAGAAAAGTTTTTGGTTGTTTTAAAAGAGTTTAAATTCTTAAAAAAGGGTAGCATAGGTGGGTTTACACTGATAGGCTAGAGTTAGGAAAACATCTTATAGATCTTGGGTAGATGGGAGTCTTCCTTTGTATGTGTAAGTTGTTCTTTGACCCTTAGCATTTTGCCGAAGCACAACCATGTTTTTCCTTGAGAGAACCCTTTAAACACCAAAACCAGTTTGTGAAGTGGGATCATTTTTTTTCTACTAAGCCTTGTCCCTTAGCCAAATGACACATTTGCATTTGCATAAGCATGATTCACGGTTTCAGCTTAATTGAATGTTAAAAAGGTTTTTTGATTTGATGAGCATGTGTAGGTTGATAGCTTTGTGATCATTCTTGTTTTGTGATGAAAGTGGCTAAGTGCTTAAAGTATCTTCCATCAAGTGCACTCTAGAATTGAGAACATGGACTTCATTTTGATTTATTGTTAGCATTTTCAAAGATATGAGTTCCCATTTAAAACCTCATCACCATGTTAAGTGTTTGTTTGCTTGAGGGCAAGCAAAAGCTAAATGTGGGGGTGTTGATAGCTTGCTATTTTAGACCATTTTAGGCTGCATTTCATGTATCTTTTCCTCTGTTTTTGTATTATAGTTTAGCATTTTAGTATCATTTGCACTTAGACTCAACATGGCATGCATTTAGCTTAGGATTGCATACATTTGCATATATGTGCATGTTTGTGGTGGTTTTCAGGTGTTTTTGGAGGTTCTTAGAGTTGGGAAAGAGATAGAAGAAGCTCATGATCAAAGAAGATGTCAGAAATGGAGCTCTTGCAAAGTCTGGTCCATATTGAGCAAGCATATCAAGCAGAACATCCGTGGAGTATGTTCGATGTAAGCTGCAGGACGAGAGGAAGAGGATCAGCACGAGGAATCTTAGCCATTGGTCTGCCTCGAGGTCCTGCATCGAGCAGAACATTGCCCGTACAACCTCGATGCAAGTCATCCGCACATTGACCACTTTATTTTCTTTGACCTTATCCTATTTTTAGGTTTTTATGCTTCTTTTGGCTCCCTACTATAAAAAGGAAGCCACAAAACATTATCTTTATGGAAGTTTAGCTTTTTTATCTAAAAACTATCTCTTCTCTAAACCTTAAAGGGCAATTTGCCTTAAGGATCTTAATCTCTAATCAAGTTTGCATTTTTATGATTTAATCTTGTCTTTTAATCTTTGTTCTTGCACCTTGTTAGTTTAGATTTATCATCTTTGCATTTTAATTTATGTTTAACTCCAAACAAATGAGATTAAACATGATTACTGAGTAGTTTAATTTAGATTTAGGGTTCTGAGTAGGGAACGTGGTGATTATGATGTGATTAAGGGGTGATTAGACTTATTTAACTGTTCTCTATTGTCTCCTTCTCTTGCAAAGTGGTTATTGTTCATAAAACTTGCTCCTTTTGATTGAATATGGTATTGATTGATGCATATGGTTCACTAAATGGCTTGTTATCTCATTTCTAAGCATGGTTCACTTATTTGGCTTGATAGTTTGGCTTGGTCTATGTTTCTTTTGTTCAGTGACACCAAAGTGATAGTTCACCATTGCTAGATGATTCGGTTAGGGCTAGATAATGCTGGTTTTGGGATTCTTGCTTGATGGTTTGATAGTATGCATCAAAAGATCTTGCCTTTGTTTCATTCCTGTTCATTGCTTAGCTTTGTTAGGATGTTGCAGCTGTGTGCTTTAATCCATATTCTTGATTGGTGTTTAGCTAATTAGGTCCTTATTGGTTCACAAGATTGATAAGTTGATCTAAATTCTTGCTTGGGTGAGAGTGTGATTGCTTGATTAGTACTTCTCT